TCGGAGGCTATCGTGGGGTCGAGCCGGCAGTAGCCGTGACATGTGGTTCCACCACCCCTCGTAGGCTTTGCCTCTGACCGCCACCGTTCCCAGGCTGCCTAATTGGATGGAAAGGAAGGCTCGGCGAGCGTATAGAAGCGTGCTCGACCTCGTCGTGGCAACCTGTACGGCAGCGCTGGTAGGCGCGATGAGCGTCGTGCCACCTGACCCGAGACGGGTGGCAGGCGTCGTACCGAGCGCGTAGAGACCGTGTCCTGATGTGATCTGCACGGGTGAGTCACGTCGGCGTCAAAGGAGCGACGTGCGACCTGTCAGAGCTTGATCTCCAATCTCAGCGGCGTCGAGTCGTCTCCGGCGGCGACAATTTTGTCCCTCCCCAGGACGCGCAGAGCAGCTGCGACCCCGCCGAGTGGACGGGGGCACTCCGCGCCACCTGCCGAGTGCCCCCGTCCACTTGGCGGGGTCGCAGCTGCCTCTGGAAGGCACCGAGAGGGACAAAATGGCGCAAATGGTCAAATCAAGGTTTTGTAACGCGAGCTGTGCCACAGTGAAATGGCACTAGCCGTAGAGATCAAAATAAAGGCCGCGTGCGGTGCAGATTACTTTACATTCCAGACGTCGGGGCGTGCGTGTCGTGTGTGAATACTGTCCGATCCATCAGCGCACGCCGTTCTTCTTGACGACATGTGAGACCCCAGGCGCCTCACCGCCACACGCGGCGAGAGCGTCCAACTCGGGTGCGAGCCATCTCGCGAGATCCGATCTCCGCCAGACGAGAGAGATGCGTCACGCCGCGGGCCGGAAGAAAGTCGCCAGGCCGGGCTGGCCGCCGAGCGGGCCGCCGAGCGACGCGCCGCGCGCGCGCGGCTTCTTCTTGCTGCCGGCCGCGGGCCGCGTGGTGGGCGTACTCGACGCGGCGCGCGGCGCCCCGAGGCGATGAGAGGGCAGCGAGAGGAAGGAACTTGCGCCGGGGGCGCGGGCGCGCTTGCAGCTGCTCGGCGGCGGAGGCCTAGTAAGTAATTAAGGCGATCTCCACATATCTCCCCATATCTCGGCGGCGGAGGCCTAGTTAACTAGTTAAGGCCACAATGAGCCACTGGAGTAATGAATCGTAATGGTCGATGGAATGAAGGAGCTGGTTGGGCCTAGCCGTAGAGGCAGCTTGACTAGTTGCAATTCAGTG